GATCATAGAAATATTATCAGAATGGTATAGATGATTCCCAAGTAAGCCTGATTAACCGACAATGAGAAGGGTAGTAGACAATATTTAGTAAGAGATACTTGTGAGCACCACTGGGAACATTCGAGTACCCAGATGAGGACATTTAAATGAATAAAGAGCACATTCTCTTTCTTTCTTGTATTAATTTAAAAGGTTACACAGAATAATAGCAATCCATATATATAGTATCCAATGAGAAAAGTATTTTCACAAATCACATGACCTGTTACAAGCGGTTGGAAAAAGCTTGGGGCTGGCTATTATATCTTCTAATTTCATACTTGACATCTCAAAACCCCTCCTACCCCATATGGGGAGTAGGTTTATGGTAGGAGTGTGGGGTTGGCACCGACCGTTGGCCACATTCTGGGAAAAGCTGCGGCCGGTGACACACCCGAACTGTGCTACTCTGAGAAAACCTCCCCTGCTTCAGCTGCTCTCTTGCAACATTGCATAGCTCCTGAGAAGTGTGAAAGTACTTGAGTTAAAGATTTCCACTCCCCGTGGCTTGTCTTGCATATTCTGGCTCTGTCTCTTCCTTGGTCGTTACTAGGTTCATTAGACTGCCTGTGAGATCCTTATCGTGCCTCTTCTTAAAGCTATGTATGGATCCTGCCTCTAACGCTCCATTCTCCAGGCCGTTCTACTTCTTAAGGCTGAAGAAACACTTCCCAACATCCCTGTGACTCATCTGGGTTTTCAACTTCCAGCTGTGTCATGGTGTTCTTGTTTCCCGTCTCTCAAAGAATCTGTCCTTGTCAACCCTATCATATCCTTTCAGTATTTTGTACGTTGTTAACATATCACCCCTAGTCCTTCTTTCCTCTAGTGTTATTTGAATGACTTCCATTATCATCTCATCATAGGACATACTCCATAGCTCCGGGACTAGTCTCGTTGTAAACCTCTGCACTTTCTACAGTTTCTTGATATGCTTAACCAGGTGTGGGTTTCAAACTGGTGGTGCATACTCTAATATTTGTCTGACGTAGACGGTACAGTGTTGTGAATGACGTGTGTGTGTGTGTGTGTGTGTGTGTGTGTGTGTGTGTGTGTGTGTGTGTGTGTGTGCTTGGTGTTTGTCTCCCGAATTTTGGTGGTAATGGTCTTCTAACGGGTCACCCACGACGTCTAGCTTTAAAAGGTAAAACAGTCAGTTTTCAATACCAGAAAAAAAGAAATGTAACCACGGACAACAAAGAGAGCCAAAAAATAAATAAATGAATAAATTGGTGTATTTCGATATTTGGCTTGTACATACAGCTGGATGCTGCTGCGACATACCGTACTGCAACGATAGTAGGTTGCCGGGCCAAACAAATTTCGACATTTTAGGACAGTTTTAACCTCGAAAATGCTTTCTCCAATAATTTTTATGGCCCGAATCGTAACCAGTAGAGCCGATTATTTCTTTTGGCGACGCTGCTGGAGTGCTGAGTCCTAGTGATACTAGAAAGTAATGCCGCATTTTGCTTTACCAATTTATGTCACTGCGCCATTTCTTTTGCGTGCACCAAGGTAGAAGGAGCTGGCTTAATGGGTACCGAAATACATTTCTTGGATCATGCAGCTACTTAAACACACCTTGTTCTTAAAGGGACAGATCTAGAAGACAGCAGCGATCATCGGCACCACAGACCAGGATGTTGTCACTCTAGTCAAGCCCTTGCCGCACATTTTCTTTCATGGTAAACACTCGGCCAGTGATCCAACAACAGTTCAAAAAATTATGTTGGACCAGTAGGCTAACCACAGTGCTCTGCTACCAGCATTGCCGGTTCCTGGCATACCATTCACACCTGACCCTCCAAGAGTACAGGAAGGCCCCATTACAGTGCTTCGCTTTACGGCGTTTTGCTAATGCAGTGGTTTTCAGTTATACCCATTCTTCATTTATTCAAACTTCCCATAATAAATATATTCACCACTCACTATAAACTAAGGACGAAAATATTATAAGGTAAGTTTTAGGCCTAGCTCTATTGCTCACTTAATATATGTTACCAGGCTTTTATATGCATTTGAAAGTGATAAAAGCCCATGTTTACCTTTACAGCGGTAGCCGGGAACCCAACCTGCTGTATAAGTGGGTCCCTCCTGTATACACGTGTAACAACAAATATCCTCAGTATGACATCATGAAACTCAACTCAGAAAGAAACGCAGTCCTGGTAAAACCTTGTTCTGCATAGTGCATTGTTACATTCCTAAGATAGAATTTGCATACCATAAACTGTAAGACAAACTTTCTCGCCCTATGCATCATCTTCCTGCCACCGTCCCTTCCACAGATCCAACTCAGCATGCGGGTCTTACTGTTCTGCTGCCTTCTTCTCGTCTCCTGCACCTACGCTTGCTTCCCCACACACAGGAGGAAACTCAATCGCACGACTACTTACTTAGAATTGTGTGGGCAGCACGTCACGTATTATATGCACTGTAGACGTTGTTCTTTAGACAGGTGAGTATTGCTTGTATGGTTCTGTAGACAGGAGAGTAGTGCTTGTGTGGTTGTCCTGTAGACAGGAGAGTAGTGCTTGTGTGGTTGTCCTGTAGACAAAATAATAGTGCTTGTATGATGTTCTGTAGGCAGGTGAGTAGCGCTTGCATGGTCCTGTAGACAGGAGAGAAGCGCTTGTATGGTTGCTCAGTAGGCAGATAAGTAGTGCTTGTATGGTTGTTTGTTCAGTAGGCAGATAAGTAGTGTTTGTATGGCTGTTCTGTAGACAGGAGAGTAAAGTTTATATGATTCTGTAGACAGAAGAGTAGTGCTTGTATCATTTTGTAGACAGGAGAGTAGTGCTTGTATGGTTCTGTAGACAGGAGAAAAGTCCTTGTATGGTTCTGTAGACAAGAGAATAGTGCCTGTATGATTGTTCAGTAGACAGGAGAGTAGTGCTTGTATGGTTCTGTACAGAGGAGAGTAGCGCCTGTATGGTTCTGTAGACAGGGGAGTAGCGCCTGTATGGTTCTTTAGACAGAAGAGTAGTGCCTGTATGGTTGTTCTGTAGACAGAAGAGTAGTGCTTGTATGGTTGTTCAGTAGACAAGAGAATAGTGCTTGTATGGTTGCTTTGCTTGAAGTCTGAATATACCCATACATGTGAACATACCCATGTAGGTGAACATAGCTATGTTGGTGATCTTGAACATGTTCAGCAGCTGGAGAGTGTGTAGTTGTCTGTTAGAAAGTACCTAATACTAATTATCAAATAACAATTACGTATTTGTAATCACTTACTAGTAATTATAGGCGGTAACTGTAGGATTTAATTATATGAGGTAATTATAGGAGGTAATTATATGAAATAATTATGAGAAAATTATATGAGGAAATTATAGGAGGTAATTATAGGAGTTAATTCTGAGATAATTATATAAGGTAATTACAGGCGCCTGTCATTATTTTTGTGACCTGCAGAATCTGTGTTTGTGTGCATGTGTTTTTGTATGTGTGTTTGTGTTCATGTGTTTTTGTGTGCATGTATGTTTGTGTGCATGTGTGCTTGTGTGCATATGTTTGTGTGCATGTGTTTTTGTATGTGTGTTTGTGTTCATGTGTTTTTGTGTGCATGTGTGTATGTGCATGTGTGTTTGTGTGCATGTGTTTTGTGTGCATGTGTGTTTGTGTGCATGTGTGTTTGTGTGCATATGCTTTTGTGTGCATGTGTGTTTGTGTGCATGTGTGTTTGTGTGCATGTGTTTTGTGTACATGTGTTTGTGTGCATGTGTTTTTGTGTGCATGTGTTTGTGTGTGTGTTTGTGTACATGTGTTTTTCTATATATGTGTGCATGTGTGTTTGTGTAAATGTGAGTTTGTGTGCATGTGTTTTGCATGTGTTTTGTGTGCATGTGTAAATGTTTGTGAGCATGTTTGTGTGTATGTGTGTTTGTGTGCATGTGTTTTTGTGTACATGAGTGTTTGTGTGCATATGTTTTTGTGTGCATGTGTGTTTATGTGCATGTGTGTTAGTGCATGTGTGTTTGTGTGCATGTGTTTTTCTATGTGTGTTTGTGTGCATGCGTGTTTGAGTGCATGTGTGTTTGTGTGCATGAGTGTTTTATGCATATGTTCTGTCTGCATGTGTTTGTATGCATGTGTTGTCGTGTGCATGTATGTTTTCGTGTGCATGTGTTTTTGTGTTCCTGTGTGTTTGTGTGCATGTGTGTTTATGTGCAAGTGTTTGTGGTGCATGTGTGTTAGTGTGCATATGTTTTCGTGTGCATGTGTTTTTGAGTGCATGTGTTTTTGTGTGCATGTGTTTGTGGTGCATGTGTGTTAGTGTGCATATGTTTTCGTGTGCATGTGTTTTTGAGTGCATGTGTTTTTGTGTGCATGTGTTTGTGGTGCGTGTTTGCTAGTGTGCATGTGTTTTCGTGTGCATGTGTCTGTGTGCATGTGAGTTTGTGTGCATGCAAGTGTACATGTGCGTGCGAATGTGTATACTCACCTATATGTGGTTGTTGGGGTCGTGTTATAGATCCTGGCCTCGCCCCTTAGCTACTAGGTCTACTCCCAGCTACAAGATAATTGTCGTACCCCTTCTTCAAGCTATGTATAGATCACGACTCCACTAGTTCACTCTCCAGATTGTTCCACTTCCTGACTGAAGAAATACTTCCAAACATCCCTCTATGACATCTGAGTTTTTAACTTGAAGTTGTGCCCTTTTGTTCCTGTTTCTCATCTCTAGAACATTCTGCCCGTATCCACATTGTCGATTCCTCTCAGTATTTTGTACGTCGTTATCATATTCCGCCCCTTGTCTTCCTGTCCTCTAGTGTCGTCGGCTTGAGTCCCCTTAACGTCTTCTCACAGGACGTGTGTAGGTGTACGTGTGTGTGTTTGTTATTTACCATTTTGTCCTAGGCATATGTCGATTAGACACTAGACCTGTTGTGTATGCGTACGTGTATGTGTGTGTGTGTTGTATGTATGTGTGTGTGTGTGTGTGTGTGTGTGTGTGTGGGTATGTATATATGTATGTGTGTGTGTGTTAGTTAGTTAGTGTGTGTGTGTGTGTGTGTGTGTGTGTGTGTGTGTGTGTGTGTGTGTGTGTGTGTGTGTGTGTGTGTGTGTGTGTGTATGTGGTATGTATGTATGTGTGTCCGTGTGCGTGTGTATGTATGTGTGTGTGGTATGTATGTATGTGTGTGTGTGTGTGTGTGTGTGTGTGTGTGTGTGTGTGTGTGTGTGTGTGTGTGTGTGTGTGTGTGTGTGTGTGTGTGTGGTGTGTGTGTTGTGTGTGTGTGTGTGTGTGTGTGTGTGTGTGGTATGTATGTATGTATGTATGTGTGTGTGTGTGCGTGTGTGTGTGTGTGTGTGTGTGTGTGTGTGTGTGTGTGTGTGTGTGTGTGTGTGTGTATGTGTGTGTGTGGTATGTATGTATGTGTGTGTGTATGTATGTGTGTGTATGTATGTGTGTGTGATATGTATGTATGTATATGTGTGTGTGTGTGTGTGTGTTATGTATGTGTGTGTGTATGTGTATGTGCGTATGTGTGTGTGTATGTGTGTGTGTATGTGTGTGTGTATGTGTGTGTGTGTGTGTGTACTCCCCTAGTTGTACTCGCCTAGTTGAGGTTGCAGGGGTCGAGTCCAAGCTTCTGGCCCCGCCTCTTCACTGGTCGCTACTAGGTCACTCTCCCTGAACCATGAGCTTTATCATACCTCTGCTTAAAGTTATGTATGGATCCTGCCTCCTCTACATCGCTTCCCAAACTATTGCACTTACTGACTACTCTGTGGCTGAAGAAATACTTCCTAACATCCCTGTGATTCATCTGTGTCTTCAACTTCCAACTGTGTCCCCTTGTTGCTGTGTCCCATCTTTGGAACATCCTGTCTTTGTCCACCTTGTCAATTCCTCTCAGTATTTTGTATGTCGTTATCATGTCCCCCCTATCTCTCCTGTCCTCCAGTGTCATCAGGTTGATTTCCCTTAACCTCTCCTCGTAGGACATACCTCTTAGCTCTGGGACTAGTCTTGCTGCACACCTTTGCACTTTCTCTAGTTTCTTTACGTGCTTGGCTAGATGTGGGTTCCAAACTGGTGCCGCATACTACAATATGGGCCTAACGTATGTGTATGTGAGTGTGTGTGTATGTGTGTGTGTGTATGTGTGTGTATGTGTGTGTGTGTATGTGTGTGTGTATGTGTGTGTGTGTGTATGTGTGTGTGTGTGTACTCACCTAATTGTACTCACCTAATTGTGGTTGCAGGGGTCGAGACTCAGCTCCTGGCCCCGCCTCTTCACTGACCGCTACTAGGTCCTCTCTCCCTCTGCTCCATGAGCTTTATCATACCTCGTCTTAAAATTATGTATAGTTCCTGCCTCCATTACATCGCTTGCCAGACTATTCCACTTCCTAACTACTCTATGACTGAAGAAATACTTCCTAACATTCCTTTGACTCATCTGAGTCTTCAGCTTCCAATTGTGACCCCTTGTTTCTGTGTCCCATCTCTGGAACATACTGTCTCTGTCCACCTTGTCTATTCCACGCAGTATTTTTTATGTCGTTATCATGTCTCCCCTGACCCTCCTGTCCTCCAGTGTTGTCAGACCGATTTCCCTTAAACTTTCTTCATAGGACATTCCCCTTAGTTCTAGAACTAGCCTTGTTGCAAACCTTTGCACTTTCTCTAATTTATTGACGTGTTTGACCAGATGTGGGTTCCAAACTGGTGCTGCGTACTCCAGTATGGGCCTGACGTACACAGTGTATAAAGTCTTGAACGATTCCTTGCTGAGGTACCGGAACGCTATTCTCAGGTTTGCCAACCGCTCATATGCCGCAGCAGTTATCTGGTTAATGTGTGCTTCTGGCGATGTACTCGGTATTATACTCACTCCTAGGTCTTTCTCCTTGAGTGAGGTTTGCAGCCTTTGTCCTCCTAGCCTATATTCTGTCTGCGGTCTTTTTTGCCCTCCTCCGATCTTCATGATTTTGCATTTGGCGGGGTTAAATTCTAGTAGCCAGTTTCTGGACCACACATCCAGCCTGTCCAGGTGTCGTTGTAGACCTGTCTGGTCCGCGTCTGATTTAATTCTCCTTATTAACTTCACGTCATCTGCAAACAGCAACACTTCTGAGTCTATCCCTTCCGTCATGTCGTTCACATATACCAAGAATAGCACTGGTCCCAGGACTGACCCCTGTGGGACCCCGCTCGTCACTGGCGCCCACTGTGATACCCCATCACGGACCATGACTCGCTGTTGCCTCCCTGTTAGGTATTCTCTGATCCATTGCAGTGCCCTTCCTGTTATAAGTGCCAGTTCCTCTAGCTTCTGTACTAATCTCGTGTGAGGAACTGTGTCGAAGGCCTTCTTGCAGTCCAAGAAAATGCAATCAACCCACCCCTCCTTCTCATTTCTTACTTCAGTTACCTTGTCATAAAACTCTAGTAGGTTTGTGACACAGGATTTCCCTTCCATGAATCCGTGCTGGCTGTCG